CTTTCAGTTTTGCAGATTTTGTTTTAATGTATCTTTACAATAAAGAGCTAGTACTCCTGGTTCTGCGTCTTCTCTGAACTACCTCTGTGACTTTTCCTTCAGTTTCCCAAGGTCATTTCCACATACCATTACAAATAGTTTGATGACAGGAAGCAGATAAAAACTAAAAAACATTAAAACACCTACTAGCTAAATCTATGCAATCTGCACTGCATTTTCTACATCTCAGGCACAGAGTGCTATCTCTAACTATTTGGTATTACCCAGGATCTTCCAGTTATTTGGGACTTCAGGCAAATGATTTTTGTCTTCTGGTCATTAGACAATTGTGGTCACTACACTACTAAGCAAGAGGTCTTCAATGTTCTCCTGGGGCTAACAGCTCTTCTACATTAGGGACAATTAAGGAACTATTTAATTAATTAATATCTATGCTGCCCATCTCCCCTACAAAGTGACTCTGGGTGGATTACAAATTAGAGACAGATGAAAAATAATTAAAAGATTAAAACTAACCAATATTAAAATATTATTAAAAGCTGTGCTAAAACCACACCTACAAGAGCTAACAGACGGATGGGATGGGGATATCTTCTACCCCAGTTGCCCCCAACCTTTGGGTTACTAGGGACCAGTTCCATGGAGAGATATTTTTCTGCCGACTGGAGGAGGTATGGTTTTGCGTGCTGCCTGCATCCTGCAGGTGGGGCTTTGCTTATTTGTGTGGCCCGGTTTCTGAAATGCTGTAGTTCAGTGCTGGTCTGTAAACCAGGGGTTGGAGATTCCTATTCTACCTTGTCAGCAACCTCTAGCAGTGAGCGCCCCTCCAGGGCCTCAAGCCAACCAGCATTGCCAGGTTTTGAAACCCTTCTGGAAAGCCAAAAGAAAGGGGGCAATTCTCACCTCCAGAGATGGGGCCACAGCAGAAAAGGCTCTTCCACTTGATCCTGCCTGCTTCAATACCTTAGCTTTTTCCAGCTACTTGAGATCACCGAGGGTCCAAACCATATATAATAATAGTTGAAAAGCAAAAGACCTTATCAATAGCCCTGCCTAGTTCTTTTCTGAGTCCGTATTATTTATAAATCATTCTATTGGGTTGCATCTTACATGGAAAATGTTTGCATATATCTTATACATATAGGCAGGAGCAGGTGTCTACCTATCTGAGGAACCTCAGAGCATTTCACACAAGATTTCTTTGCAGCTTCAATCAAAGCTATGTTTTAGATAAATTGGGTAAGTGCTATCTATAGCACTCATTAGGGATTACTACAATTTTCAATCACATGTTATAAAGCTGGGCAGGCCAAGGTAAAATGTCCAGTTCTGAAGACCTCTTGTTTCTCAGCCAGAAAGCTCTTCTGCTCCAGCCCATCCCAAAGTTTCTAAAACAGATGCTAAACATTATTCTCTTATTGTACTCAAGGGGTTTATGAGGTAGTAATTAGCAGAATCCACCTTACTGCCTTTGGAAAACAGGGATAACTGCTGATTCATAATGAGCACCATCCTACAGATGGAGGTGAAAAGTAAACTCAGTTTTTGCCTTAATTAGCAGAGCTAAAATGTGAGAATAAGGGATTTTTGCCAAGTAATTTATTAGGTTTTGAAGCTTGGCAAGTGAAACAGCCTGGCATTCAAGTAAATGACTCCTAATTACATTTGTGGCCATCATATTTATTTATGGACCAAACCCAGTGCTAAAACAGAAATATGGCTAGCATGGTGAATAGAAAATATAAAATTACATGAAAATCCTGAAACAACTCATAGTGAAGAGATACTTGGCAGATTCAAAAACCTGTTGTGATAGATAGGCAGTGGGCAACCTTCTTAGGGATTCTTCACAGTGGTCACATCAAAGAAGAGCAGTAGCCTCAGAACTGCAGGAGAAATTAAAAATGCTGACAATTGAGACAAGGAGCTTTGGATGCTATTGGGTATATAATAGGCACAAATACTGCAGAGTCAACTTCCGTATCTGAGTACAGACAACTGAGCTCTCCTGCAGGTGATTAGTGTCTCTGTTGGTTGTCTCCTAATGGGCAATGCCCAAATTAATGCCAGGGTAAACAGACGGACCAAAAAAGTTCCTCAAAGATTTGCTTCAGCTAGAATTAAAATTAGCGGAGTCTTAATTGACTCCGCTTAATTGCATCCTAACTCATATTGAACCAATAGAGATTGAGCGAGGGATGCATGTTATTGTTTTTAGGATGTTTGATTGAATTGTTTCTAAACTTGGGTTCTCTTTAAACTGATAGGTAGTTTTCGACTTATGACCAAAGATTGAGCCCCAAATTTTTGTTGCCAACATTGAAACATTTGTTAAATCAGTTTTGCCCCATTTTACAACATTTCTTGACATACATGTTAAGTGAATCACTGAAGTTATCATATTAGTAATACGGGGTTGTTAAGTGAACCTACCTGGCTTCCCCAGTGACTTTGCTGTCAGAAGGTCAAAAAAAGGTAATTATACGACCCTCCCCAGGACATTGCAACCGTCATAAATACGAGTCAATTGCCAAGTGTCTGAATTTTGATCACATGACCATGGGGATGTTGCAATAGTTATGTGAAAAACAGTCATAGATCACTTTTTTCAATGCTGTTGTAACTTTGAGCAGTCACTAAACAAACTGTTGTAAGTGGAGGACTACCTGTACACACCTGAGCATCATATAGCATTGTATCTGAAACTTTGGCTTTACAACTTGGGAGCTATAAAATGATTGAAAATGAAATTTGTGTGTGGCAGCAGGCAAACGTGTTACAATAAGTCAATCCTGGGAGTCCAGAGATAATATGCCAGAATAAGGGCTGAGACTTTGGTCTTGACTAATTCATTGCTATATGTGATCACCTCTCTTTTCAAACTTTAAAAGATATATACGTTCTTTTCATTTTTAAGAGTTCAGGGAAAATGACAATGACTGACCTTAGAAGCTTTGCTGGAGCTAATAATTTTCTTTGAAATAATCATAGAATTCTTTTATTTAAATCTATGCAGATACAACTGTTGGGTGTTTTCATTTGTATTAATTAGGTACTCCTATAACCTCTAAATCATATTATTATAATGGTCTATAACTGAATTTCCTAGTACAGACAAAAAAATTTCCCAAACTGTCAGAAATTCAGACAAATTGAACAGATAATAACATGTCTGAATACCCGCTCACTCCATTTAACCTGCCCGACTCCAGCTGCCATCCCAATTACAAGGTGAAACAGATTTGAAACATAAGGGCCTCTTGGGAGAGACTAAGAGATTATTCCTGTGTTGACTTATGCCTACTTATAGTCGACTAAGTGAATTTCTGAACAGCAGCATACCTGCAAATAATCAATGACTAACATTTATGGACCTGATTCACAAGTAAATTCCATGAGACAGCCATCTTCAGCTGCTCCAGTATAGAAGAATATACAGGTTAAAAAATTTCATCATTGGGAGATAGAGAACTAGGAATTGCAAAAACACAATCTCATCATTTGACATTCAGACATTCTGCTGCTGAGCAGATGACTAGTCTCTTACCAGTGTATTTTTTCAGATCATGTCATGTTTGCTCAATCTGCAACCATACATACTATGGAGAAATATGTGCATGTGTGGATATATGTATGTGTGTGCATGTGTATATGTGTGTGAGTTGTTTGGACTGAATTAGGCCCACCCTAGCCCAGTGGGTATGTCATGAATACATTAATAGTTTCTATTTGGAAACAAACATATCCAGTGCACCATTTATTCTGCTATCTATCTTACTAAGCACAGTATTCAGTTTTGAACAGTATCTATCAAGATCTATCTTGTTGATTGTCCATGTTTCTGATGGAAACAAAATATTACAGTTTATTAAATAGTTAAAAAAGGAAGTCTCTAATTGATCTCTCAATCTTTGTATAGCCAATAACTTCCAACTCTGGAAGGTGCTTTTCAGCTGCTCAGCCAATGATATTGCATGAGATGAAAAAGCAAATACATTGGAACTCTAAACCTCACTCTAAACAATGATGTTTGTTACAGAACTCAAACCCTGAACTGTGCACAGTATTTGCAAGGAAATGCACAGGAGAGCAAGAAAAGTTCAGTGGGAGACATTCAACATGATAAATTGCTAGCAAAGAGAGCCCATTTAGATACTGAATAGATGGGACAATGTGCAAAGCTCCCGTACATGTTGTTCCCAATGAGAACAAAAGGCCCAGGGAATAGCTGTGGAATGAACACTGGAGAATCAACAAAGCTGCAAAGCAACTCCCGGTTCTATTACTCTCTCTGTCCTTTATAAAGTACAGAGGCACCCACAGGGCATCTGTGGTGTGATCAATGTAATCCTATTTGTACCCCTTTTGAACATGCAGGTAACACTGCATGCATTAATGCAGCAATTTTACTGATAGTCCCTAACTGAAGAAAATGGGACAAAGACTATTCTAAATACTGGAATATTTATAATTTCCCATCTTGCATTAATTTCAAATTCTACAGAGACCCACATTGTACTTTTATCTCTCCAGGGGAGGAAAATATATCATGGAAAAAGTAGGTTTTTACTGCCTCCCTAATGAGGTATCTTTATTTATAGTAGATATATTGTTTTCTGTCAAATAGGGGACTCCAGTCACGTCTACTGATTCTCTGCTGGATAATCTCCAATCTGATTGGGGGATTTTAAAAAGCAGAAACATTGGGGGAAAAAACAAGCAAGAACCAACTGTTTCCAATGGGCAGAATGAAACATATCTATTTATTTAAAACTTACGTATAGGCACCCATCTTAAAGCCAAACTCTGGGGGCTTTCCACCCCAAATATTCCTGCCTCAGCAGCTAGAAACTAGGAAGGTATTATTTAATATATTTTGACTGTGTTTTGTCAGATGGGATTGGGTTCTTGGGAGATTTTCTGATTGAAGTAACCTGATAACTTAATTGGTTTAGAAACAGCTGATTTGTTCAATCTAGATATCCTGTCCTTTCTTTTAGGACTTCAGATGGCTACCTTGAAGTCTTCTTTCCTTTTTCTCCATATGAAAAAGGTAGGTCTAAGAGAAAATTACAGGCCTCAAAGTCACTCAGTGAGCTGCCACATCTGTGGTAAAGTTGAACTTGCATCTCTTCTTGGTCCCAGACCAGCATCTTTACCACAACCCCAAACTGGCTTACAGATAGTCCTCAACTTACAGCCATTTGTTTAGTGATCATTCAAAGTTACAATGGCTTTGGAAAAAAGTGACTTATGACCAGTTTTCACACTTATAACCTGTGGTGGGATTAAATATGTGAACAACCGGTTCTCTGTGTGGATGCCACTTCTGGAAATCCATTCTGGGCCTGGGCAACAAAAAATTAGCTACCGGTTCTGCCGTAGTGGTGCAAACTGGCTGAATCCCACCACTGCTTATAACCGTAGCAGCAACCCCGTGGTCACATGATCAAAATTTGGATGCTTGGCAATTGGCCCTGTATTTATGACAGCTGCAGTGTCCCAGGGTCACAGGATCCCCTTTTGCCACCTTCTGACAAGCAACATCAATGGGGAAGCCAGGTTCATTTAACAACCATGTTACTAACTTCACAACTGTCATGATTTGCTTAACAACTGTGGCAAGAAAGGTCATAAAATGGGACAAAACTCACTTAACAATTGTCTCACTTAGCAACAGAAATTTGGGGCTCAGTTGTGCTTGTAAGTTGAGGACTACCTATATCAGGAAGATCGGTTTGCTGTTCTATCTCAGGTAGCAACTTTCTTCCCAGAGATGTTTTCTAGACTTTGGTCCCAACATGAAATAAGTGATATGGGGTGGCCATAAATTGATACAATTTAGCATGAAATTTGCTAGGGATTCCTATAACAAAATGACTGGTACTAAAATGTCTCCTGCCTGTTTCTCTTCCAACTGCATGAACAGCTACAGGTGTGGGGAGAAATGTCTGTGAAAGCAATTCAATGTAGAGAAAGGTAAGGTTTTACATGTAGGCAAGAAAAAACAAATATACAGGTGCAGATTAGATGAAATCTGGCTTGATAGCAGTAACTGTGAGAGGGATTTTGGAGTCCTAGTGGACGATCATTTAAATATGAGCCAGCAGTGTGAGATGGCAATTAAAAAAGCCAATGCAATCCTAGGCTGCATTAACAGAGGGATAGAATCAAAATCACATGAAATTTTAGTACTGCTTAGTAAGACCACACTTACAATATTGCATCCAGTTTTGGGCACCATATTATAAAAAAGTAGTTGAGAAGTTAGAAAAGTAAACTCAAGATGGCGGCGCATTCACACACAGTGGCCCTGAGCTCCCAGTATTGGTGTGTGGGTTTTGGAGACTCTGGAAAAAGTGCAGAAAAGAGCAACAAAGATGATTAGAGGGCTGGAAGCTAAAACATATGAAGAACAATTGCACAAATTTGATTGTCTGGTTTAGTGAAAAGAAGAACTAGGGGTGACATCATAGCAGCGTTCCAATATTTGAGGGGCTGCCACAAAGAAGAAGGAGTCATCCTGTTCTCCAAAGCACCTGAAGGCAGGACAAGAAACAATGGATGGAAACTAATCAAGGAGAGAACCAACCTAGAACTAAAGAGAACTTTCCTAACAATGGGAACAATTAAGCAGTGGAACGGCTTGCCTTCAGAAGCTGTGGGTGCTCCATCACTGGAGGCTTTTAAGAAGAGACTGGACAACCATTTTTCTGGAAAGATATAGGGTATCCTGCTTGAGCAAGAGGTTGGACTGGTCCTTTCCAACTTTACTGGGTGCAATCTAAAAGCAACACTAAACTGGTGTCATATTCTCGCAGTCTCTTTTTAGTTTAACAAGTCTTGCACTAAAAGTTTTTCCAGTAAACCCTCTATTTTAACATTATCATCTATAAATAAATGCATTCAGGGTTTAGATAATTAATGGGAAAGCTCAAGATGTGTGAACTTTGCTTTGCTAATAATTTGTTTTGTCATTTCCTATATTGTGCCTCTTTTAACCCTGAGCTTCTGTAGTAATGCATTTAACTAAAAAACAAAAACAAAAAAACCATGGTTCGCAGTTCAGTGATATGGCTTCCTTTTCTTTTGTGATAGTATAAAATACTGTGTATGAGTCAAAAGTCCCAAATTCAAATGTAATTGAAGCTAGAAACTTTGGTAAGTCTCTCCTAATGTCACCTAACTAGGGCAATATGGAGAATAATGAGATCAATATTAATAAAGCACCCCAGATTTAACAACTGACAATAAGAAGGATAGGAAGATGGGAAGGATAAATGCCAAATCCAGCCTAGACATCTGGCTGGCCATGTGACCAACCACAATATAAATAAGAATAGACTAGTATGTAGTAGACTGTATTAGTTGTTTCAAGCACATTTACTAGAGGTTTATAGGTGCCATGGAGCACTATGGATTTCAGAAAAAAAAATACATTAGATTGCATCATTTTATAATATATGCAGGGCTTTTTTTTCTCACAGAAAGCCCAGAACGGAGTTCTGGCACCTTTTTTGGATGGAACCTTGTAGGATAGGCAAGGCGGGTTGTATGACATGTGTGAGTTCCAGCACTTTTTTTTTTTTTTTTAGAAAAAAAGCACTGAATATATGTGATGTGTTTTAGACATTCAGATATGGCCAGGAGGAACAACACTGCCTCTCTTGTGAAGTTAATTGCAATTTTACTGATAGAGAGAGAGAGACTGTGGAGAGAGTCCTGTTTATCTTTACGGCTTTGGGTAAAAGGAGCAGAAACTTTAAAAATAAATATCACATTGCTTCTTGGTTTCATTTTAAAGCAAAAGTACGTGTTGCCTAATGCTAGATTGGCACAAAAGTTTCTTCAGGGTTACATCTTGGGAATCAGTGGCAATGTGGCATTAGCTAGAAGTTTTCTGAGGCAAGATCCAGGATAGATGGTTTAAAGAATTTGACTTCAATGTTATTTTTCCTTATCTCTGTTGTGCCAGGCTGTAGATTGACTAATATAACATAATTATGGGTCCTTGTGTATTTTGCAGGAGTATGGAAACAATGTTTTCAAAATGGAACTTGCAGAAAATATTTTTTTTAAGAAATTCAATGTCTGTATGGTCAAAATAGAGCTGTAATACAATACATCTGAAGGAGGAATATAGCAGTATGCCATTTCATTATTTTGCAATGTCCCATAGCAACCATCATATCATTATTGTGCTAAATTGAAGTTTCCCCTCATTTATTCTGATGTTATTTTTTTTCTGAGAATTTGAAGAAACTAGATAACAACAGATGACTATAGACACACACACACACACCACACACACATATCACCCAAAGCCAACAAGATATTTTAGCCTAATTTCCTGGTGGCATTTGTTGACAACCAGAGAGAAAAGCAACAATCCTAACACCCATCAAACTCTGGATTCTTATAATATGCCAGTGATTTTCAGGGAATTGTATGGATAAGACCAAAAAGAAATGGCTTTTCATAAGTTTTGCTTTTCTTCCTTAGTGAGGACTAGCCTTTGAATGATTTGAAAAAATTATCGTAAAAATAGCAGATACCTTTTTGGTTAGTTAACCTTAGAAGTGGAATGAAATCCTTTTGGGCACCATCCCAAAATGGAAGTGATTATGCCCAACATATTTCTCAAATATACAACATGTATATTCCTGAGAGTGATAAAAGCAGTATTTCAACCCTTTTGATTGGTACAACATCCTTTCCTTCCAAACTTTACATTCTAAATTTCTGATTTTCTAAAATTCTAGTAAGACTATACTATTCATTAATTTCCCACACATGGAATATAAGAATGGTGTTGCAATGGTATCCTGTAGAAAACTGGAGATATTTAGTGAAAAGTCCAGCTCTTGGGATAGGCCTATTGTTTCCATGACAAAATACTTATATTTCTCTGAAATGATCAGCAACAGAATGGAAAAAACAGTTTTTGACTTTTAGTTAGCTAACACTGGGAAATTTTTCCTCCTGTTGCTTCTCCTGGGCTTCTAAACACATAGGAAAACTGGACAATGGTGTTGGGGGGGGGGGAAGAACAGTCATAACCTGAGTAAATGTGAATATATTTTAAAATGGGTTCAATCTGGAATCTTGGCCGACAGTACTGACATTCCATAGAAGACTAGCGACATCTGCTGGCCATTCAGGTTCAACATACTGTAGCTTTGAATAGTGAAATACAGGTAGTCCTCAACTTACAAACACAACTGAGCCCCAAATTTCTGTTGCTAAGTGAGACAGTTGTTAAGTGAGTTTTGCCCCATTTTACGACTTTTCTTGGCACATTTGTTAAGTGAATCACTGCAGTTGTTAAATTAGTAATATGGTTGTTAAGTGAATCTGGGTTCCCCCCTTAACTTTGCTTGTCAGAAGGTTGCAAAAGTTGATCACATGACCTTGGGACACTGCAACTGACATATATGTGGACCAGTTGTCAAGCATCCAAATGTAAATCATGTGATCCTGGGGATGCTGCGACAGTCATAAGTGTGAAAAATGGTCATAAGTCAACTTTTTTCAGTGCTGTTGTAACTTTCAATGGTCACGGTTGCTGGAATTGGGTATGTCTAGTTTAATGAAGAGAAGGACTAGAGGTGACATGATAGCAGTGTTCCAATATCTCAGGGGCTGCCACAAAGAAGAGGGAGTCAAGCTATTCTCCAAAGTGCCTGAAGGCAGGACAAGAAGCAACAGGTGGAAACTAATCAAGGAGAGAAGCAACCTAGAACTAAGGAGAAATTTCCTGACAGTTAGAACAATTAACCAGTGGAACAACCTGCCTCCAGAAGCGGTGAATGCTCCAACACTGGAAGTTTTAAAGAAGAGACTGGACAGTCATTTGTCTGAAATGGTATAGGGTTTCCTGCCTGAGCTGGGGGTTGGACTAGATGACCTCCAAAGTCCCTTCCAACTCTATTATTATTATTGTTATTATTATTATTGTTGTTGTTGTTGTTAAATGAACTGTTGTTAAGTCAAGGACTACCTGTACCTGTCCTTTCCAAATCAGGGTCGTATTTGGAACTATTCTAGAATTTTTCCACTTTTTTTGTATTGCCGGCATCAGGAATTTTTTTTCCGGGGACCTGAAATTGTTGACTGTGGGGGAAAAATGCCCGCACAGCACCATGCTTCCCCCCCACACACAAACCTCATAACCTTTTGATACCCTTTGTCCCAATGAAGCAGCCAGAAGGTCATCCCCTTTTGACCTAATGCCTCACCTACCTAAACAGATAATATGCTTAGTTCCTTCCTATCTTTTCCTGTCTTTGTTAGTTCTTTCTTCTTTTGATCTGCCTGTATTTGTTCTTTACCTGGTCTTTGACCATGTAATGTGTTACTAGGAAATAGTTGCTTATATGAAGGAATTTTTCAATGAAGAAACTTCTGGTCAGCATCTAATGGTTAAACTTGTGTATATAAAATGTCAGCATCTAATGGTTAAGCTGGTGTATGTAAAAAGTATATAAAAACCAATAAACACACAGAGATTCTCAAGCTGTCTCAAGCTGTGACAAGCAGCTCTGCAGCAGCTTCAAATCTCTGCTCAAGACATGTCTGTGTCTTTTTCTTAGCATCTTATAGTTGACTTTTAAAAAGAGAATAACAGAGTTGGAAGGAGCCTTGGAGGTCTTCTAGTCCAACCCCCTGTTCAAGCAGGAGACCCTATACAATTCCAGACAAATGGCTGTCCAATCTCTTCTTTAAAAACTCCAGTGATGGAGCGCCCACAACATCTAGAGGCAAGCTGTCAGGAAATGTCTCCTTAGTTCTAGGATGGCTCTTTCTTTAATGAGCTTCCGCCCATTACTTCTTGTCCTGCCCTTAGGTGCTTTGGAGAATAGGTTGACCTCCTCTTTTCTGTGACAGCCCCTTAGATATTGGAAGACTGCTACCAAGTCATTCAGGATCATTTCATCCCAAATCTCTTCCTGGTGTCAAGTTTTGCATTTGGGTTAAAATTTTCTTTCCCCTTCCTATTAAATGTGTCCAGGGCAGGTATCAGGAATTTTCTTCCCAGGGACCTGAAATTGTTGATTTTTAAAAAGAGCATCCAGGACCATTTCTAAGGAAATTCCACCCCAAATCTCATTTTGGCATCCTGTTTAAATAAAAAATTGTCAGTAGGGTAGAATTTGCATAGTGTTGCTGATCTAGCAAGGCATCATTATACCACTGCTGATTTCCTGAAGTGGGAATACATTGCCCAGCTATAATCAAAATATGACAAGCCCATGAAGAGATTTGTTTAGAAAAGGATATAGCACTTAGCAATAGCACTTAGATTTATATACCGTTTAATAATGCAAAACAGTCCTCTCTAAGCGGTTTAGAGTCAGCAATGATCTGGGTCTTCATTTTATCGACCTTGGAAGGATGGAAGGCTGAGTCAACCTTTAGCTAGTCAGGATCGAACTTCTGGCTGTGAGCAGTGAGCTAGCTTGCAATACTGCATTCTAACCACTGCACGCCACCATAGCTCAGAAGGATATGGGCTACCAGCAATTATTATATTCTATGACTTTCCACAGAGACTTTTATTATATAACAATTTTAACAAACTTATTTATTTCCTAATTTCTACCTTAGCACTTAACCAGCTTAGTATAATTTTTAAGGCACCAGGCTAGAAACCAGAAAACCCAAGTTCTGTTTCCACCTTAAGCGCTATCTGGATAACCTTGGGACAGATACTCTCTCCTTAAGAAGAAGATGGACTTCTGACAAACCACTTCTGACAGCTGCAAATTCTCAACTCCACCACACTATACGAAATCTTCCTCCTGCACATCCACAATCTGGTGCTATCAATGTTTTTCCTTTTAAGACTGGAGACTGCCTTAATGTCCCAGGGGAGAAACCGAGAAGGAATTGCTCAGCCTGGGTACTTCAAGACTTGGAAGTCAAACACACACAACCAGACAGAAACAACAAAGAGGTCACTGTTTTAATACAGCATTCAGAAAGCAGCAAATGAAATACGGTTCAGGATCCTTAAATGGAAGCAAGGGATTTTTAGAAACGATCTCATTAGTTCCCTGTTTGTGTATAACTGGAATGACAATGCCTTTCTGATCTTGTACCTACATAGCTGCTGAATCCAGCAATCCGGCCAAAGTCTGAGAACAGTTTGGTAGGTGTTCATCCAGCCTTCAGTAGCAAAGAAGCAGCTAATAAGAGACTCTTTTAGCAGGTGACACCTTCAATAAAATGCCCTTTCCAGAAGGGCAAATCTGGAGCTTGCTTTCTTGTTGCTTTTGACTTTGCCACTGACAACTTATCATGTTTAAAACTATTTTTAAATTGTTGTGATGTACTGCTTTATTGTTTGGGTTTTTAAAATTAATTTACATTGACCACTGTGATGGGAGAGCTTACTCCACAACACTAACAATGATGGTTTATCAGTTCAGGAAGACAGAAAGTCACACTGAGTCCCTGGTCTTTTGCACCTAGATGAGCTAAGAGCAAAAGAAACAAGTGACATTGAGTTTATGGAGCATGTTGAGATCAAACACAGTTCAAACATGGACATGCATAGGCAGAAGCTCTCCAATACAGAAAAAAAAAATGCAACTGATAAGGAAATAGCTACAAAAAGAGACCTGGATATCCTTCATCACTACAGACACATTCCTAGAAAGGAAATAGAGCAGCTCTGAATCTCACCTAAGCCAAGATCTAAGATGGTAACCTTGCACCTGCAGATGGAAGTTATAAGGAAGCGTGGAAAAGCATAGCCTTGAATCCTTTCTTAGCATATGTAATCCTCTATTTGTATAAGGATATGTATCTACGATTATACAATATAATTGATACAATCTGTGTTCTTTTTCTAAACTTTTCACCTCAGTGAAAGGATGGATGCATTGTTTTAGAAATAAACTGCTAAGTTTCAGAGAAGGCTCTCTTGATCTGCTCAGAAAGCACAACCGAAATAAGATATTGTAATAATATGCTGATCTTCTTGTACTGTTTGTGCAGCTTTCCCTGTTCTTTAGATATTAGTTTTTAATTCTAGCATTTTTCCTTTCCTCACACCTTTGCTTATTTTTTTTTTTTTAATTCTTTGGTTTTATGGGTGGGGGTTCTAAGGTGGAGGACAAGATGATGTCTGTGGCTGTGCTTTTGAACCTTTGCTTCTTTTTTTTGCATACAAGGCAGATGAATTGCAGATGATTTTTCAGTAATAAAACACAGTATTTAAAAAGCAAATGTTCCATAATAAAATACTGAATACCAAGTAGCAAACAATAAACAGAATTGGACAACGTAACATCCTCTAGATCAGTGGTTTTCAATCTCAGCAACTTGAGTGAACTTTAGCACCCAGAATTCCCCAGCTAGTATGTTGGCTGGGGAATTCTGGGAGTTTATTTAACATATGGCATCTTCAGCATCATGCAATCACTAATATTATATATGATAAATTCTGGGAGTTGAATTCAATTTATCTTATAATTACTGAGATTGAGAAACACTTTTCTAGATCTTTGATTCTATTACCCAGAATAATAATAGTACTAAATACAGTGGTGAGATTCAGCCGGTTTGCAGTTGTTCAGGAGAACTGGTAGCTAAATTTACCTGAATTTGGAGAACCTGCTGGCTTCCAGAAGTCCAGTCTAGGCCTCGGAGGTCTGGAGGAGGCCTCCCAGGCCTAGAACAGCCCACCGGAAGTGTGGTGGATGCCACTTTCAGAAGTCCGTTCTAGGCATCGGAGGCCTGCATCAAATATGAGAACCAGTTGTTCAGGTATTTGAATCTCGCCACTGACTAAATAGTCAGTAGCTCTGCTGAGTGGAGTTATTAGGAAGTGAAACCCAGAACATCTGGAGTACACCTGATTTACAATAAAACATTTATATTTGCCTGCACCGTAAAACCATCTCAAATACTTTTGTCTTAATTCTGATGAACATAGAGCTCTTCTTCACATCACTGAGACCAGATTCAAATCATCCTACTTCAGACAGATTATGCAAAAGCCGAGCTCTCTGGAGAAGGCTTTAATGCTGGGAAAAGTAAAAGCAAGAGGAAAGCAAGTAGCAACATGAATGGATTCAGTTGTAATAGTGATGAGTTGTTGAGAGACTCAAAGGTGCTTTTTCAATAGGCAACCGGATTTTGTTTTTTTTTCCCTTGAAGATGTTTCGCTTCTCATCCAAGAAGTTTCATCAGTTCTGGCAGGATGGGGGGGGGGGAATGGAAGGATTAGTTCTGAGAGGATGGGGGGGGAGGAAATGGAAGGATCATATTTCTTTGCAGTTGTAAGTTATTTTACATATTTTTTTGTCCTAGTGAACATGTTGGGTTTTATAGCTTGCAAAAAAATTGATATTAAAAAGCTGGAAAGACACCCATTCTCCATCATTTATAGCATGATTTAAAGAGCTCTCTTCTTCCTCAATAGTTGAATAAGCTTTTTCTCGCTTAATGTACTAGCTGATAAACATAGAAATTTGACAATATGTAGCAGCATCTATGAGAACCACTTCGGCGTAGTGATTAAGGCACCAGGTTAAAAGCTGGGAGACTGTGAGTTCTAGTCCCACCTTGGACATAAAGCCAGTTGAGTGACCTTGCAACAGTTGTTCTCTTTCTGCCACAGTTCCAAATCAGTTCCAAAATCTTGCCAAGAAAACTACACGGATTTGTTCAGCTAGTTGCCAACATTGACTTGAAGGCATACTTGTGCGTAGAGATGAATACCTTCTGTGGTTCCTTTTTCATTTTTTTCATTGTTAAGTAGACATTAATAATATATCCACACATATGTGAGAGTTCCTTTTAATATGGATTAGATGTGTGCTTTTCTGATGTTTACTTTATATTTTGTTTGCTTATTGCATTTGACAGACTTAGGACACCACTTTTTTAAAAGCCTTTTATTTTCCTTCACTGTTATTGTTTTACAATACAAATTTCACTTTTTTGAACACACAAAAACCCTACAGAAGATAATTCTGTTTCACATAAAATATGTTGAGAAAAGTAGTCAAACACCGGGATAAATATAAAAACAACTGTTTAATAAACTAACAACTGTTTGATAAACTTAGCTTTCGTCAGCCAACTTCTGATGTCATCAGAGTGGAATGCCGGAGGTTCGAAAGCCTGCTCATAAGACCGGCAGTTTGTGCACTCTGCTCACAGAATGCATCACTGGTCTACCCGCCCCAGTTGACCATATTGCTTCTAACAATCTCGCATCCGTCTGTGCACTTGTAAACTCAGGGATCATCGCTTCTCTTGTTGTCACTCTCTTTGCCCACTTTGGACAACATGAGCAACACTCACAGGTGTGGGTCCATATGGCCAGCAATAATCACACATTGACCTTGCATGGGCGGAGGCCATCGCCCAGGATGTCACCAAGGGCGGCCCCAGTTACTGAAGGAGGCTTGGCTGTCAGATGAAGACTTAATTAATCGCTACATAGAATTACTGCCTGCTTATCAGGCACTAAGGAAATGGGAACAACAGCATAACAACTCACAATGAGTGCAACGGGCGCAGACTATGCAAGACCAGAACCGCTGTCTTATGCAACAGCAGAGAAATACGGCCGGCAAAGGGGAGAAATCCCCAGCACTATTCGCACAGGACCTAATGATGGGAGGCGGGGTACTACATTCACAACAAGGGGGGTGGCCACAGGACAGGAGGCAGTGGGGGACCATCCTATAGCAATGTGTACCCAGATACGTCCAAAGCGAGCAAAGAGAGCGACAACAAGAGAGGCAATGATCCCTGAGCTTACAAATATACAGAAGGATGCGAGATTATTAGAAGCAATACGGTCAACTGGGGAGGGTAGACTGGTGATGCGTTCTATGAGCAGGAGCGCACAAACTGCCAGTCTTTTGAGCAGGCTTTCAAACCTATAGCATTCCACTCTGATGACGTTGGCAGCTAGCCAACAAAAGCTAAGTTTATCAAACAGTTGTTAGTTTATTAAACAGTTGTTTTTATATTTATCCCGGTGTTCGACTACTTTTCACCAGTCTAATAGAACACCTGGTCTACTGTTATGATTACTTTTGCCTTTCAGCCCCAATCTAGGAGCATTTTGCAGGCTCAAGTCACTACTGCCATGAACTATTTTTGTAATTTTTTTTAGATCTTTTGTTGACAAAAGTCTCCTTTTAACTCTTTGTCAGCAAAAGATCTAAAAAAATATACATACATACATACATACATACATACACACATACCCCCTTTATGGATTACTGCCTTATCCTGGCGAAGGGGCTTGCGTAACTCAATGAAGCTATGAGCTATGCCGTGCAGGACCACCCAAGACAGACAGGTCATAGCAGAGAGTTCTGACAAAATGTGATCCACTGGAAAAGGAAATGGCAAACCACTCCAGTATCTTTGCCATGAAAACCCCATGGACAGTACTAAAAGGCAAAAAGATATTGATGCTGGAAGATGAGCCCCTCAGGTCGGAAGGTGTCCAATATGCTACTGGGGAAGACCAGAGGGCTAGTACGCCAGAAAGAATGAAGCGACTGGGCCAAAGTCGAAAGGACCCTCAGCTGTGGATATATCTGATGGTGAAAGGAAAGTCTGATGCTGTAAAGATCTTTTTTCCATAGGAACCTGGAATGTAAGATCCATGAATCAAGGCAAACTGGACATAGTCAAACAAGAGATGACAAGACTGAACATTGACATCTTAGGAATCAGTGAACTAAAATGGACAGGAATGGGTGAATTTAATTCAGATGACCATCAGGTATACTACTGCGGGCAAAAATCCCTCAGAAGAAATGGAGTAGCCTTCATAGTCAATAAAAGAAAAGGAAAAGCAATACTGGGATACAATCCCCAAAATGACAGAATGATCTCAGTTCGAATCCAAGGCAAACCATTCAATATCCCAGCAGTCCAAATCTATGCCCCAACCACTGGTGCTGAAGAGGATGAAATTGATTGGTTCTATGAAGCCCTACAGCATCTTATAGAATTAATACCAAAAAATGATGTCCTTATCATCATGGGGGATTGGAATGCTAAAGTAGGAAGCCAAAAGATAATCGGAATAACAGGCAAGTTTGGCCTTGGAGTACAAAATGAAGCAGGGCACAGGCTGATAGAATTTTGTCAAAAGCATTACCCCTGAATTGTATCTGAAGAGGGATGAGAAGGAAGAAAGGAGAGGAGAGAGAAAAGAGTAAAGGAGGGGAGAAGGAAGTAGGAAGGCTGGAGGAAAAGAGAAAAGGGGAGGAGAGTGGTGAAGGAGAGAAGAGGAAGAAGAGGGAAGTAGGGAAGAGAAGAAAGAGAGAAAGAAGGTAGAGAAGAAGGAGTGTGGATACGGTGAAAGGGGAAATGGGCGAGCAACACCAAAAGCCATGTGTATGTATTTATTTCATTTTGTTAAAAGTATCTTGTATGTGAGTGTGGAGGGAATGTATGTTAACTTCTGATAAGTATTACGGTATATGTATGGGGGAGAGTTTGGAAAAATAAAAAAATATTTTTTTAAAAAAAGAATTTTGTCAAGAGAATACGATGGTCATAACAAACACTCTTTTCCAACAACCTAAGAGACGGCTCTACACATGGACATCACCAGACGGTCAACACAGAAATCAGATTGACTATGTGCTCTGCAGCCAAAGTTGGAGAAGCTCTAAACAGTCAGTAAAAACAAGACCAGGAGCCGACTGTGGCTCAGATCATGAGCTTCTTGTTGCAAAATTTAAGCTTAAATTGAAGAAAGTAGGGAAAAGCACTAGGCCACTCAGGTATGAACTAAATCATATCCCTGAGGAATATACAGTAAAGGTGAAAAATAGATTTAAGGAATTAGATCAGATAGACAGAATGCCTGAAGAACTATGGACAGAGGTTCGCAACATTGTACAAGAAGTAGCAACTAAAACCATCCCAAAGAAAAAGAAATGCAAGAAAGCAAAATGGCTGTCTGAGGAAGCTTTGCAAATAGCTGAGAAAAGAAGGGAAGCGAAAGACAAAGGAGAAAGAGAAAGATACACCCAATTGAATGCACAATTCCAGAGAATAGCTAGAAGAGATAAGAATACCTTCTTAAATGAACAATGCAAAGAAATAGAAGAAAACAACAGAATAGGGAGGACCAGAGATCTCTTCAAGAAAATTGGAGATATGAAGGGAACGTTTCATGCAAAGATGGGCACAATAAAGGACCAAAATGGCAGGACCTAACAGAGGCAGAAGAGATTAAGAGGAGGTGGCAAAACTACACAGAAGAACTATACAAGAACGAACTTAACATCCCAGATAACCACGATGAGGTGGTCACTGACCTCGAGCCAGACATCCTAGAATGTGAAGTGAAATGGGCCTTAGGAAATCTGAGCAACAACAAAGCTAGTGGAGGTGACAGCATTCCAGCTGAGCTATTCAAAATCTTAAAAGACAATGCAGTAAAAGTGCTACACTCAATTTGCCAGCAAATTTGGAAAACTCAACAGTGGCCACAGGATTGGAAAAGGTCAGTTTACATTCCAATTCCAAAGAAAGGCAATGCCAAAGAATGTTCAAACTATCGCACCATTGCACTCATTTCACATGCTAGTAAAGTTATGCTTAAAATCCTACAAACTAGACTCCAGCAGTATGTGGACCAAGAACTACCAGAAGTACAGGCAGGATTTTGAAGAGGCAGAGGAACTAGAGATCAAATTGCCAACATACGCTGGATCATGGAGAAAGCTAGGGAGTTCCAGAAAAACATCTACTTCTGCTTCATTGACTATGCTAAAGCCTTTGATTGTGTGGATCAAAACAATTTGTGGCAAGTTCTTAAAGAGATGGGAGTACCAGACCATCTTATTTGTCTCTTGAGAAGGGGTGTTGTCTTACTTGAACGCCTTTTCTCAGCATGACAATGGAGAATCAACCAATGGGTTTTGCTTGTCTTCTGCCCGTAGACTAAGTCAGCCAATTTTGCTCCACCTCTCTTCCTGGGACTTCTTTCCCCAGTTCTCGACTTAGTCTCAGCCTATTCAGACTGATATTTCTGGCTCCAGAAACAATTTCCTAAATCAGGTTGTATTTTTTCTCTTTTCTCTCAGTGGATTGAATTAGTTCGAAGGGAGGGGAGGGAGCAAGGACGAACGGCTATATGCGGGTCAAGAAGCAACAGTGAAAATTGGACACGGAACCACTGGTTCAAAATTGGGAAAGGAGTCCAGCAAGGCTGTATACTGCCTATTTAACGTATATGCAGAGCACATCATGAGAAAGGCAGGGCTAGATGAATCAAAAGTTGGAATTAAGATTGCCGGGAGAAATATCAACAACCTAAGATATGCAGATGATACCACTCTAATGGCAAAAAATAAAGAGAAACTAAAGAGCCTCTTGATGAGGGTGAAGAAGGAGAGTGCAAAAGTTGGCTTGAAACTCAACATTAAGAAAACCAAGATCATGGCATTGGCCCTCTCAATTCCTGGCAAATAGATGGGGAAGAAATGGAGGTAGTGACAGATTTTATTTTCCTGGGCTCCAAGATCACCACAGATGGGGACTGCAGCCAAGAAATTAAAAGACGCTTGCTCCTGGGGAGGAAAGCTATGGCAAATCTAGACAGCATACTAAAAAGCAGAGACATCACCCTGCCAACAAAAGTGCGTATAGTCAAGGCCATGGTTTTCCCAGTTGCAATGTATGGCTGTGAAAGTTGGACCATAAGAAAGGCTGAGCGACAAAGAATTGAGGCCTTTGAACTATGGTGTTGGAGAAGCCTCCTGCGAGTCCCTTGGACTGCAAGGCGTTCAAACTGGTCAGTCCTAGAAGAGATCAACCCTGACTGCTCTATAGAAGGCCAGATCCTGAAGTTGAAACTGAAATACTTTGGCCACCCTAATGAGAAGGAAGGACTCACTGGAGAAGGGCCTAATGCTGGGAAAGATTGAGGGCAACAGAAGAAGGGGACGACAGAGAATAAGGTGGCTGGATGGAGTCACTGGAGCAGTAGGCATGAATTTAAATGGACTCCAGAAGATGATAGAGGACAGGAAGACTTGAAGGAATGTTGTCCATGGGGTCGTGATGGGTTGGACACAACTTCGCAATTAACAACAACATACATACACACACACACACAGAGAGAGAGAGAGACACACACACACATGCTTCTTCATTCTTAAAAAAACTATTTTTGTTCTGCACATTGGCAAGTATAGGATAGAATATTACCCCCAAACAAAGTTTGTATGGCAGAATTTAAAATTTCAGAGTAACATGCAGTTTCTGCACAAACCTGTTTTAAATAAATCATTTGTTTTTCAACAATATTTTCATTTAGGGATCAGACATTGTTTATAATTTGAATTTATTTTTATTTGTTTATACTTTGAAAAATAAACTTATAATAAGGACGTCATGGCTGTTTTCTTGCTATAGTTAAAATCCATGTATGAAGTAGACAATAAAATAATTTAAACAGTATATTTCATTCTAATCTGCTCACAAAGTGTGAAGACATGATTATCATAGTAAAGCCCCCCCCTCCACCCAATTCAGTCATCTGGATATTGCAAGCAGATTTCTAGTTTTAGATATAAAAATCAAAATTTGATAATGTGTATAATACATATAATCTTGGTTTTGTGGAATACTTTATTTTAAACAAAAGATTGTAAAGACTGCCTACTGACCATACTATCAAGACAAGAAAGGCACTAAGAACAGACAGATCTTTTTCCCAAAAAGCATTTTTTAAAGTTTAACTCTTTTCTCTATCATGTAAAAACCTTTTTTAGAATTCATTTGAATGCATTATCTTTTGAAAAATAAAGTTAGTAAATACTTAGAAAATCACTTTACAACAGAATAATTTTTTTTTTGCACCGTTTGACACTGTCACTGCAGATTTACAAAATCAATTACCAAACCTTTCTGTGTCTATCATTTGTAGCTTCAGTGAAACAGATAGAAAGATTCCTGTATATTTATCTCAGTCAGGTATTTAGAAACCTTCATATAGATATTTGCTAGAAAATGGCTTACAGCCCAATCTTTGGGGCAAGAGATATGAAAATTATGTTTTCCCAAGAAAATAATATGCTTCATTCCCAGACTTGACTGGAAAGACCAGAACTTATGATATAAAAGCATTTTTTGTTATGTTGCTGCATCATATACAAAGAAACATGGTGATGAGCAACGCAAATCCATAATCTATTGACAAGAAATGTATACAGTGCATGATAAGTTACCATATCTTTATTGTTGTCCATCGCAAATCCTTTGGAGGAAAAAAAGTTATCACAGTGCTTACCAGGTAAGAGATTTAAGTCAAGGTAATGGTTAAAAGGTAGAATTAAGGGACCAGTTCAATTGTTATGGTGACACATCTTGGGGAGGTCTGAGCACTTTTGGACAGTTCTCTCGCCATCTCCTTTTTGTTATCCGTTATGTATCATTCACCAGTTTGCTGTATTTTGCTGACCGACCCAGATGCAAAGCCTGCCAGGAAAAAGGCCAATGATAGGAACGTGGTACAATGCCTTGGACATTCTTTTCAAAGTACTGGAAAGGTTTGTACCACCACACCCGTGCAAGAAGATTAGTCTGCGAAGCTTCTTTTAGCACCTGAAAAAAAAAGTATAAATAAACTATTTGAAAAGAAAAGAAAAACAGCACTCGGAATAATGCATTTATTCTTCAGGAAACCCACAAACTTTTCCAGTGCAATTCACACTGTTGTTAGGTAAAGATCTCCTCATCTGACCCTTTCAATACACACTTACTGTAGTGCTTTTTTAAAAATAGGATTATTAGAGGAGGTGAAAAGAGATTGTGGCTGGGAGCTCCCTCCTTAAACAGTGGTGTTTCTTACTTTTATTTATTACTTCTAAACAACCCCCTCAAAAAACAAACAATTTATACAAGGCACAAGAGGAAGCAGGTTACAGAAGGATTTTAGTGCTAATATTCTAACAACTCTATTGTAAAAATAGAATAAAATGGAATACAGTAAAATTCATGAAGGAAGGAAGGAAAGGTTGTACAAGTTTGGCAGTCTTATAAGTTTTGCTAATAAATAAAAAAAAATGTACAGCTATCTAAACATCTGAAGTTTTCAATGGAGAAATGAACAAATGGAAAGCAAGTAACTTTGGTTTCAAACTAGCCTGCAAAAAGAGTAAAAAGTGCAGCAGAGCTGCACAGTAAACTGTGACCTACTGATTCGATTGCTGAATCAGAAGAGATGATGAAACATCTCTGCAAGGAGATTTTTTTATATATATTCTAACATTTGTAGTTCAGACTGATTTGGAGCAGGGTATGTGATCAGAGATTGTGAGAGTTACTTAAGATATGAGTAACTGCAGATCTTAAACAACTGTCACTGCACTTTTACATACTGCCAAAACCATACAGGTCAGCCTAACTTTCAATAGATGACTATTCTGCAAAATGGAAAATGCCATTTTTGGACTCTTATTTTATGCCTATCTTACACATTTAATCTCCAAAAAGAAGTCCTAGTTCTTCTTATAGATAACATATCAGAAGCCCTGAAAGATGATCAACTGTCTTGCCTCCTAGTTTTTCACCCTTGCCTCCTAGTTTTTCTATTACAGAGAAAGAGGGTCTACATAAACTTGAGGAAGTTCTATTACCTTCAAAGTTACACTGAAGTACACAACTTCACAAGTAACAGGGACCAAATCAATATTCATTGAGTAAGCATAATTTTCAGAACATATTTTACCATCTGCATTGTGTTATCATGGGATTTAATCTTATAACTAAATTCAAGATGATGATGCTGGCATCAAAAGTAAACTTGTCAAATTATCTGTTGCTCCAAGCAGATACTATTATCAAGGAAATAATAATGGACTTAGTCTTAAGAGACATATAACACTTGCTTAAGATTTTTTTTTTCCTATGAACAAAACTGAGTTTAATTATAAAACTTAAAGTTATGAAATAGACAAATTCACTATATGTATTGTACATTTAACAGCATAACACTTTTCTGCCTTAGGAACAATCTTTCCTCTTCCTTCCACAATCCTTGCAGAAATATACTCTTGGGTGACTCATGTGTCACCTTCAGTCATCCGCCGAGTGATGGGTTAAAATGCGTGGCTTCCCAACTTGCTGAAATGGACCTTTCAACTTATTCTTCCTCCCAGCTATCTTAGAATAACTGAGGCATCAGAAAAGAGTGTTGCCCAATATCCAGCGGAGCAATCCCCAATTAATTTGGGAAGAGAGAATGGCCAGAAGGGCTCCAGTTTCTGCAAAAGAGGTTTGTGCACAGTCAAATATCATTGCCTTATCCACTGCTCCAATTCTTGTCCTGTCCTTTACAGATAATCCTCGACTTACAACCACAATTGAGCCCAAAATTTCCTTTACTAAGCGAGACAGTTAAGTGAATTTTGCCCCATTTTACGACCTTTCTTGCCACAGTCATTAAGTGAATCAGTGCAGGTGTTAATTTAGTAACCTGGTTATTAAGTGAATCTGGCTTCTCCATTTGATTTTGGTTGTCAGAAGACTGCAAAACGCGATCACATGACTGCAGGAGTCAGATGCCAAGCATCTGAATTTTGATCACATGACCACGAGGATGCTGCAACGATCGTAAGTGTGAAAAACAGTCATAAATCACTTTTCAGTGTCATCATAACTTTGAATTGTCATTAAATGAACTGTTGTAAGTCGAGGACTACCTGTATTTTAAACTTCACCTAAAAAACTAATCCTTCAAGTAAGAGATTAAACTATGCACGGGATACTGTAGGAAGGAGGGATGTAGCCAGAAAATAAGCTTGTGCTGAAATGATCGTTATACTGGACTGGACTTGAGCAAGCCAGACCCACATAATACATTTTACAGAGGAAAGAAAAGAAACTCACTTGTTGATTGGCCATGGTATGATACCACCAGAAAAGTCTTGTAGTGATGTAGTAAGCCACCACCACATCCACAGTGTAGTGATCATGAGCCAAGAGAATACAGAACATCCCAACTATGCTGAGAGCCCAGCAAATCCAATGATACCACCAGAATCGCCGAGGTGAATCTGAAAATAAGGGAAAACACATAATTCATTAATTCTTTAAACACAAAATATCTTCATACAGAAAAAATAAAGTGCTTGTTTTTCCGAAAACAAGATCATTCCCAAGTAGAACAGTTTGAGCTGTGGTGTTGCAGTGGTTAGAATGTAGTATTGCAGACTAATGCTGCATTCCACTGCTAAAAGTTTAATCCTGACCAGCTCAAGGTTGACTCAGCCTTCCAGATTGTTGGGGGCAATAGGCTGACTCTGTAAACTGCTTAGAGAGGGCTATAAAGCACAATAAAGCAGTATATAAGTCTAAGTGCTATTGCTAATGCTATGCAGAAAAGCAAGTTTCATAACAGCAGTCTTCATATACTTGAGGGGCTATCATAAAGAAGATGGTCCGGACTAATTCTCTGTAGCTCCAATGTGTAGAAGCTTTGCAGAGGGAGATTCAAAATCAAATGAAGGAAGCATTTGCTGACTGTGAGAGCTATTAAGCCATGCTGGCTCTGGAATTTTGGGAATTGAAGTCCACAAGTCATAAAGAGGCCATGGTTCCCCACCTCTTTATTAAGCAGTGAAATATTTGTCATCTGACGCTATAAGTACTCCATCATGGGAGATATTTTAAGCAAAGACTGGAGAGCCATTAGTTAGGGCTAGTATGAGATTCCTGCCATATGCATGGGATTGGACTAATAGGCCCAGTGCAAGACATCTTCCAATCCTCTGATTCTATGATTTCCAGAACCTGAAATGATCCTAAATCCACTTTGATAAATGTGGAGTGTTTTGGAGAAAACTGTCACCATTCAAATGAGATCTCAACTGAAGATATGTATTTTTATGTCATTACACTCTTAGTATGATTTTTCATGATCTGACTGGTGCCCTATGTGTTGAATTACAAATTCTGCATTTTCAAATCTATATACTTCTCCAATCAAGTTGAGAGGGCTGGTGTATGATTAACTTTAGCATATAAATAACTTGTACATAACCACATATTTTTGGAGAGAAAAGAATAACTAAGATGTTTGGGCTACCTTCTATTCTTTGACAATGTATGGTCTCGTATCAAGGACTATAGTTTCTAAGGCCCTGACATGCTACATTACTGACAAAGGTCAAAAAGAATGGAGTATATAAAAAACCTTTCCAAGAGTTGAATCTCTATAACATTTCAAATTGAAATTTGTAAATTTTGGAACAGTATCAGCCTCAAAGCAAGTGGATGAGATAGACTTTCTAAGGATAAAAGAAAGGATTAATCTCTCGTTCCTATTACCCCTTGAGAAATATTAAAATTCCCTCTTATTGCAATGTGATTACCAATTGATGTAATTTTTGATGTAAAAAAATATTAAGGATGAACTGAACGTTTTCAGTATTAATGGTTCATTATTTTATTACACTTAATACATATTTAACATAAGCATTCCATTTTAAATGCAAGCATGGTATACACTGTAGAGTACTATCATGACTGACATTTTAACAAGTCATCTAGATACAGCAATAATTGATTGCTAATTTATGTAACTTAAATATAAATGTGCAATCTAGAGCACAGCTTGATTTTTGTGGTTAAATTAATCTCATTTCTGCATGTTCTGCTATATAATTAATTTCTCTGTGCATATTCTGAAAAATGATTGGATGTAATCTGATACATGTCTTTATGTCAACAGAATGTTTTGATCAGCAAAACAAGAATGGTGACTTCTCCTGATCTTGAAATTCTTCAGAATATACTCCACAGAGCCAATTGGGAAGGTTGTAAATGGAAATCACATATGAATAGCACTTACATACTGCTTCATAATGCTTTACGGCACTCTCTAAGCAGTTTACAAATGTCAACATATTGCCTCCAACAATCTGGGTCCTCATTTTACCACCCTCGGAAGAATGAAAGGCTGAGTCAATCTTATGCCAGTCAGGATCGAACTGCTAGCAGTTGGCAATGTTAGCCTGCAATACTACATTCTAACCACTGCACCACCACATAACTGGGATATTGTGATGTCATAATTGTGCACTAATTGACAACCCCCTGAATCATGATCATGTGACCTTGGGAACCTTACGATGGCTGCCACTACAAGGAACAGTTGTTAAGTCCCCCTTGCTCAGAATTGTTGCAACTTCGAATGGTTCCTGAACAATTGGTTGTTCAATGAGGATTACTTGCATAACAATAAGAACTAAAATGTTGTTGTGTTACTCTAGTTCAGACATGTCAAACACAAGGCCCGGGGGCCAGATGCGGCCTGCGAAGTGGTTTCATGTGGCCCGCAAAGCCATCCTGGAAACAGTGAGGGAACGGCCCCCGCTGCCTTGGCCCTAGCCCAGGTCAGCTGGAAGCCAATGTACAATTTTATGGTGGCCATCTATGCTGAAACACATTCAGTCTTAGCTCCACAAGGCTGTCTGGAAAGTAAGTTCACTTGCAGGAAACAAGTACTGTATGATTCAGATCTTTGTCCAATTCATGCAAATGTTACTAGCTACTGCAAAATTTAATAAATACTGATAGAATAGGTATAGTGTACCAAAAATAACATATAGCAATTACGAACATTGTTGCATCAATCTATATTGTATATTTTTAGATAATTGAAAAGTCAATATCTTTAACAAATCTTCTCTTCTTTTGGGGAAAGTTATAGGCTAAAATAGGGGTCCCCAACCTGTGGGCTCTGGCCCACTAATGGGCTGTGAGGGGTTTGCAACTGGCCCATGGAAACAGCTGGTGAGCACGTGTGCATGTATCCTCACTTGCTCAAGCAGCGGATGAGTGCATGTGGGCATGCTCCATTTGCAGTGAGCAGCATGCGCATGCCGCTCACGCAAATGGAGCCGCACATGTGCACTTGCTGCCTGCTTGCACGAACCATCCCCTCCTCCCCCCTGCCAGTCTGCAAAACCAGAAATGTTGGGGAACCCTGCCCTAAAAGATACTTCTTAAAAAACATATAATAAAAGTATAAAGCTCTGATGAAGGGCAGCAACTTTGCAGGGTGATCTCAATTAATCAAATAACATACATAGTTCTATCGAATAATGGAAATACTTACACTCTTTGATAAATAAGTATGTCAGAGTTAACATCACCGTATGGCCGCTGTATAGGTAGTCACCACACATGTCATGTGCTCCTGTGATTGAGAGACCACCCCCGGCAAGCAGCTTCATGATCCTCCTCATGTGTGACTCCCAGTCGCCAAAAAGCTTCAGAAAGGAGCAAGGGATAAATCAACACATTAGTTCAAATGTGTCTAATTGGAAAACATTACACTGCAAGTAATTAGATTTCCAGGCCACTGAATGAATCAAATTTCCAACACAAAGGCTAAGCTTGAGGGAAGTACATTCATTATACAAAAGCTTTTACAAGACTGTGCTTGCTGATCTTTTCCAGAATCACAAATTTCTTCACTAGTTAAAGAATTATAATACAGATACCCTTATGAAAATTGCACAGAGAACTTTTCTTTACATAAACATAGACTTTCGGGGGGGGGGTAGTTGTGATTGTTTCATCAAAACAGAAAGTAGTAACCTAAAATCACTTTCATTGTTCAACATAAATAGGCTAAAACATCAGAAAAACAACTTATTCAGCACAATAATTTTTTTTTCTTTCAGTACTGTAATCAGTCAAATTACAATAAGAAATCTGAATTATTGTTTAGGTGGGGTGAACTGACCTATCTTCTTTGCAGAAGGATGTTGATTAACAAGAAATGGTTGAAATGAATACAGGTAGTCCTCAACTTATGACCAAAATTGGGCCCAACATTTCTGTTGCTTAAGTGAAACATTTGTTCAGAGAATTTTGCTCCATTTTACAACATCTCTTGCCACAGTTGTTAAGTGAATCACTGCCGTGATTAAGTTAATTACGTGGTTGTTAGGTGAATCTGGCATCCCCATTTTAGCTTGTAAGAAGATTGCAAAAGGTGATCCACATGACCCTGGGACACTGCAACCGTCATAAATGTGAGTCAGTTGTCAAACATCTTAATGTAAATCATGTGACTGTGGGGATGCTGCAATGGATGTAAGTGTGAAGAATAAGTCACTTTTTTAGTGCCGTTGTAACTTTGAATAGTCACTAAATGAACTGTTGTAAATCAAGGACTACCTGTATTATTCTTTTTTGGATAGATAGAAACAAACATATTGTAGAGTATGGTGAATTCAAACTCACAAAAGTTAGGGCCAAGTTTAATAGGTTCATTCCTCACTGTATGTGCATTTTTTCTATATATTGGCATTGTATGATATCAGGAAAAATAGAGGCTACAGTGATCCTGCAGGAAAACATTGGTTTAAACCCAAGCAAATCCTACATAGGTATCTAAATTTTCAAGGTCACTAACTCATTTATCCTATTTCTTTGATAATTTTAAATAATGGCATTTAGCTGGCATCTCAATGAGAAATGTGAATGAAGTCGCTCACATGTGTTTACAACAGCCATAAAACTACAGAGTTCCTAATATATTGCAGTATTTTCTGGGAAGTTGGCAAGAAAAGTGTAATGCGTTATAAGAACCCAATTATCATGTTTTTAAGAGATCTGACAAGAATATAAACTTTAATTCTCCAAACTCATAAATGACAACTTAAACCTGCTAGTTATAAATGTGTATTAAGGATAAGGAGAAACTGAATGCACTTGGCATCCATTTGGTTTATACTGTAATACTGTTATACTGTAACATTACTGTTATCAAATTAATAATAAAAAATCTTAACCACAAAGTTAGATAATTAACAGGAGATAATTAACAGTAGCTCACTTCTATTTTATGGCCATGTCTGAAAATATTTCATGGCAGTTGCAAAGTTAGCAAATAAAATTAAAACAAATAAGTGCCCATTAATAAGTTATATTCTTTAAAATTTATTTTTCTATGAAAATGGTGGCTTTCAGAATTCAACTATGTTCATTGTTGTGGAGAAATCAGTCCTTATGTACATTGTGCAACTCAAGAAATAGTCACAGTTCTTTTAGGGATTATATGAGAATAACTAAGATCAAGAATAGGAATGAACACTGTGGCAATGTCAGACCTTATGCAGGCATGGCTTGATTTGAGTTCCTGCACTGAATTTTCAAGAATCAACCATGGTATCCTTCTGGACTGGCTCTCGACTGGTTAGGAGTATGGATACTGTTTTGCATTGGTTTTCCTCCTTGCTCCATGACCAGTTCCAGTTGGTGCTGGTACGGGGAAAGAAATCCACTTCTTGGCCTCCCTTATATGGGATGATTTAGAAGTCTGGTCTCTCCTCTTTTCTATTTAACACGGACATCCCACAGAATGGGATATGGTATCATCAATATAGATTATCATCAGTTAATGGATTCAGTTATCCATCTGCACCTCATGCTGAGCAGGAGATGCCATTCAAGTACTTACCCAGAACTTAGAGACTATGAAAAACTCAATTGGGAGCGTACCAGTTTAGACTCAACCCTGGCAAGACGAACCAACTTTGAGCCTCTGAATTCCTATGAGTTGTCATCACCCTTGCCTTTTGAACGGGTAGCATTCCCAAGGACAAGAGTCGTGTAAAATTTGGTGATCGGGGATCCTTGATGCTAGCACTGATGTTACCTAATTTGGGTAATGAAACTTCTGCAAGAAAACAACCAAGCTCAGAGAGCACCAAGGACCCCTCATTTTAACAATGAATTAACAATATTCTCCTTTATTGGTAATCTGGTGATCCTCCTGAGCTCTTGCTCCAATCTAGCCATGACTATGGCCGCCATTGCATAGCTTTGGATTGTCACCAAGTGTGCCCCTTCCTGGACTGGGAGGCCTTGTTCATCTTTATTCAAAATTTTAATAATCTTAGTTACTGTAATGTACTTTGCACGGAACTGCTGTTGAAGACCACTCAGAAGTTGGAACTGACCCAGCATGCAGTAGCACTGCAGTTCACAAGGTTTTATCTTTTGCTTATGTGGCACTGCTGGTATGACAATCAGGTTAGATAGGATGGGCACATTCTAGGTCTTAAATATCACCAAATATTATGAAATGTCTAAGAAGCATCTTTTCCATGGTTGCTATTGGAACAGTTTCTCCTGTGAGATTCAGAGGGCCCCATCCAATTAACCTTCTGGAAGGCTGTGAAAACCTCTTCTATTTTTTCCAATTAAAATTTTGGTCTAGACAGAAAAACAATTATTAAATACCCCTGTCTACCTCTGCATCTATATATCCAAAGGAGGTGTCTATTTGTGTTGTGCTTTTCCTAATTGTCAAGCAATTTTCTGGATGATAAATTGTGGAACAATATTAAGGATGTTACCCTAAATCGATTACAGTTATTTCTATTAGACTATGTTCAAATATGGCAATTGGAGAGTTTATAAACGCCTTCGAAAGTCACATGCCATATGGCTCTGCCTTCCTAAGGAATGAGATCAATTTTGACAGTCTTTCTTGCCTTTGAGGCTGGATGAGAGCTGGGTCTATTTCAATGCGATAACCAAATTGATTGATTTTGAACTAAAAGCCATGAAGGGATGATACAAATATTGAACTAAATCCTGACAGAACCTGTTTATCTGGTTAAGCAACAGAAAGTTGAGCAATAAGCAATACTGACCATCTGTTGGGAAAAAAAATCAATCAATTTCCCTTAGTGAGAAATTCATTAGTCACTCTGAGCCAGCTCTTCCAGAATGTCTAAGAAGATGGGAAAAAAGTGATGTTAAATAATAATAGCAAAACAAAAAAAATTACCTTTGGAGAACAGTTGAAATGCATGCCAGGTACTGGGAGTGTCGTTACATACATTGTAATACACCGGTATAAGTACAATGTGCCAACTATACAAAGAAATCTTCTGCCAATAATAGACCTGGAAGGAGAAAGAAAAGGTAGAGAGAACTGTGTATCTCTATTTGAAGTGCTTCAGAATACTGTAAAAATAATGTTTTCTATGCATTCCATGAGACACTACTCCAGTGGTGGTGAACCTATGGCACAGGTGCCAGAGGCGGCACTTGGAGCCTTCTCTGTGGGCACACATGCCGTTGCCCCAGCCTTCCTTCCCCTTTATGACCCCCTCCTCACCAGCAGCCCTCCTGGAGAAGAGTTGCCCCCAAGCGTGGCCCACGTGGAGCAGTGCACCCAAGGACATGGCAGCCAGGCAGCGTAGACAAGACTCTGCCCTCACACCCCATCATGCCCAATTGATGCTGCAGGGCACGGGCAGAGAGCGTGACTGCCATGGCACTGCTGGGTGATCTGCGGCGCGCCCTGGAGACGGTGAATGGCCCTGTGGGCAGGCAGAATGGGGGCGGAGTAGGGGCGGGGCAGAGAGTGGGGTGGGGGCGGAGCCAGTTTTTGGGCACTCGGTCTCTAAAAGGTTTGCCATCACTGCACTACTCCATTTAGGCCAAAAACTACTAAAAACAAATCAAATGAAATATTCCCACTTTATAGAACTAGAATAGATCCAAGAAGACTGTAATGTTAGTAGCAATTCAGGGGAAAGGATAGAAGATTCTTCAAACTGTTTTTAGATTAAATCTGGTTCTTAGCTTTCTTTTCTACCTAGCCAAAAACTATTGTCAGTTTCCCAAAAAGCTGCAAATTACTGAACGCAGTGTGAACTGTAATCTGGAATAATACAGTGTAGAGAGGCTTCATGGTTAAGAGGCTGTATACATATTCACAGTGTCCTCCAACCAAATAAATGTATTTATCCCCCATTCATGGGTTTTTAAATTTTTATGGGCTTTTAAGTTCACTATGCAGATTTCCTCATTTTTTCCATACAAGTTAATGGTAATGCATTTACATTTAGAATAGGAGTCTGAAAAACACAAGTTACATTAAGAAAAAAAAATATTTTTCTTCCTAACCATTAACTTAGTTATTCTACCTTTAGTCCCCATTTAGAGACTTTTTGCCATTTTTTTAATGGACATCAAAAATGGTTTGCGTAAAACTAAATATGTTCACGCTCAAACACTCTACTGCTTTTACCAATAGGTAATACTTAGTTCTAAAGCCTCTTTTTAGTTCCTCTGGACTACTTAAATGTTCAGATAGAAGATATTTCCTCATATTCTTCCATTTTATCACACTTCGGGTGAGCTATTTTAAGTTTTTATTAACAGCCTTGGAAGACAACATTCCTGTTTAAGAGAACAACAAGCCCAACTAGATAGCTAGCTGATCTTAGATGCTCTAAAGTAGCCTAATTAAGCTTAAAGCATGCCTAGAACTTGGGTGGTGACCACCCAAAAATAGCAGGGCAGAAAGTTAAACTCGAAAGTTAAAAAAAAACCTAAGAAGGAAACAACTAGAAACCACTTTCATATTGTTACCAAAAAATAAAAATGGGGAGAGTTGAACTCAACTCAGAGAGACTTTATTTTTATTGCTGATAGCAAAATGTTATCAATCAGATATAGTTTCCAGATTTAGCATACTTATGGCACAGTCACTGAAATCAATGGGATTTCAATTAATGTCTATATAGTATGACAACATAAAAAACAGCCAATTGAATGTAGTCATATATATTCATATTCACACATGTATAAAATAAATATCAAGTATAAATAATGTCAAGCTGAACAGATTGTGAAGATTTACTTTGGGAAAGCTTTTTAGATGCTTTCCACTGAAAACCCAAGTATATAATTCACCACTAATGCTATTTTACAATTTTTTTTGTACAAGGCTCTAAAGTGCTTGGCTCTAACATGTAGGGAAGCTGTTAGACCAATCCTCCATTTAGTGTACAAAACTACTAATACAATTTTCTTGGATCCAGACCATTATATGAAATATTAATGGACACTCTCCCTCAAAACATTGCCATTTCAAAAGCAAGCATTCTAAAATGTTTTTCAAGTTGGAGATTGCATAACAAATATTGGCTTCACAGATCGCATTATAAAACTTTTATTATACAACATTATGCCAGAGTGAAGGGAGTAATCCAATGTTGTTCTCAATCATTTTGTCAAAATTTCACTTTTAGAACGAGAAATATTTTTCAGCATAAAGCGAACCTAAGGAAACTGAAATTAATGGGATTAACAACTTTATGTTGCTTTCAATCATTCTTCCATAGATTTGTTTGCTGGCTTAATTTTGGGCCTTTGAAATCTTCATCTTGGATCTTTGAAATCATCAACACTGATTCCTATTTAGGAGTGAACCCCAAATTTCAACATACTTGTTTTAGATGCTAAATACAACACAAGAAGATTATAAACTCTTCATCTGGATATAAGCCAGTTTTGAGAACTATTTTACCTAACTTTATAAAATCACCTGCTCTATTCAATCACCTGCTCTATTCAATCAGGACATATTAATTATATACATGAAATTTGCCAAATATATTTATCATAATTGTCCTGAGAAAGCTTTCAACAAAGATGTAATATTATGGAGGCTGGATAATCTGTACTTTGCTTCTTGAGGATGAGATCAAGAAATATTCTTGTATAATGATAATCTTCCCTCCCCTCTATTTTATATATCCTGCCCCCAACCTGCATCCCAGAAATGCCACATTACAAAATTTTCCAAAATCTCCTGAATTGCAGGAGGTATACAATGCTTCTCTGGACAACACATTTTGCCTTACAAGAGAATCTAACAGAATCTCCATTTTATTTTCTTCTTCACACAACTGAAGGCATCAGTGATGCCCTTCCTCTCTCATCTTAAGGAGTCCAAGATTTGTAGAAATTACTTGCTAAATCTAACTTTCCCTAAATTGAGAATTGCATCCTTTAAAGCTGGATTCAGCATTCTTCCATCTGTATAATAAAATTGTAAAGTAAATAGCAAATTTTGCTATTTTACTAGTAATAGCAAAGTCCCGGTAGCTGAATGTATCTGCCCATATGGTGATGAGGAAGTTGAAACAATCTCACAAGTAATTATGCTGTCAATTTTACAGGGATATTAGGCATATCTATATTTTGCCCCTAACAGATAAATTCCCAGGGAATCCAGATGAATTTTACAAGAACCTTCTCCTTTAGGATCTAAAACTACTCATTACGTGTGCAATAGCTAAATTTTGGGTTGCCACAATGAAAGTAAGACAAAACTGATTAAAGACATAATTGCCTTAGTTTTAAATTATTACTTTCCATTTGTTATATCTTAACCAATAAACTATTAGGAGATATAGAGTTTTTATTTATACCTATTTATGCTTTCTATTTATTGATTCAAAATTCGGAAAGGAGTCCAGCAAGGCTGTATACTGTCGCCCTGCCTATTTCACTTATATGCAGAGCACATCATGAGAAAGGCAGGGCTAGATGAATCAAAAGTTGGAATTAAGATTGCCGGGAGAAATATCAACAACCTAAGATATGCAGATGATACCACTCTAATGGCAAAAAATAAAGAGAAACTAAAGAGCCTCTTGATGAGGGTGAAGAAGGAGAGTGCAAAAGTTGGCTTGAAACTCAACATTAAGAAAACCAAGATCATGGCATTTGGCCCTCTCAATTCCTGGCAAATAGATGGGGAAGAAATGGAGGTAGTGACAGATTTTGTCTTCCTCGGCTCCAAGATCACCACAGATGAGGACTGTAGCCAAGAAATTAAAAGACGCTTGCTCCTGGGGAGGAAAGCTATGGAAAATCTAGACAACATAGTAAAAAGCAGAGACATCACCCTGCCAACAAAAGTGCGTATAGTCAAGGCCATGGTTTTCCCAGTTGCAATGTATGGCTGTGAAAGTTGAACCATAAGAAAGGCTGAGCGACAAAGAATTGAGGCCTTTGAACTATGGTGCTGGAGAAGACTCCTGCAAGTCCCCTGGACTGCAAGGCGATCAAACCAGTCAGTCCTAGAGGAGATCAACCCTGACTGTTCTTTAGAAGGCCAGATCCTGAAGTTGAAACTCAAGTACTTTGGCCACCTAATGAGAAGGAAGGATTCACTGGAGAAGAACCTAATGCTGGGAAAGATTGAGGGCAATAGAAGAAGGGGACGACAGAGAATGAGGTGGCTGGATGGAGTCATTGAAGCAGTAGGCGTGAGCTTAAATGGACTCCAGAAGATGGTAGAGGACAGCAAGGCCTGGAGGAATGTTGTCCATGGTGTCACGATGGGTCGGACACGACTTTGCAACTAACAACAACAATTTATATTACCTAGATAACATATTAACATAGTAATAGTGAATGTTATAATATGTGATTTATTTTGCTACTTATTAATGTGGCATTGCACCTATATATTTGCTTCACTCTGTTTTTGTTCTTTTAAATTTTGCTGATTTATTGATCAAATAAATATTATTGCATAGTTTACACTGTATTGTGTAAATGAGAGGTCTCCAACGTTTTGGGCACTAGGGACTGGTTCCGTAGAGAGAGGTTTTTCTGCAGACTGGAAGGGGCATGGTTTTGTGTGCTGCCTGCATCACACGTATGGGGCGTTGCTTGTTTGTGCGGACCAGTTGCTGGCATGCTGCAGACTGGGACCAGTTCACGGACCGGGGGCTGGGGACCCCTGGTGTAAATAATTATTGCACAGAAGATTTTATTGATATTGCTCTAATTTTTACTCACGTCCCTTCATGTATACTTTTATGACCTAGATTTATCATTAAATAGAGTCCTTAAAATAGAAAAAAATCACAATTTAAAGCAAGCATCTATAATAATAAAACCAGGAGCAACCACCACCCGTCTACTTACTTGTATTTTAAAAGCAGCCACTGAACTAACCAAAGTCCCACAAGGATCAAACCATTAATTTCACAGATAGAAAAGGCCCATTGAACCCGGTTAAAGTAATCAAAGAAAGCATCCGGCAGGGGGGGCTCCTCCTCTTTCGGAGGCACTCGTTCGTGGACAAGTGAGATTGTCACCGTGGTCAGGAAGAAACAGCAGAGCGCATAAAGGAAAGCCAGAAGCGTCTTCTCCCACTCCAAAGGATACTGAGAACGTTCCAGGTCTGGCATGGGGATTTTTATCATTTCTTTCCTGTAGCCATTTGGCACCCCATTTTGTTTGGGGGTTTTGCTGAAGCCATTTTCGCTGGTTGGGGCTTCTGTGCTGATGCTTAGGTGGCCGTTGGCGTGCCCATTTTTGTGTGCCTCAATGTGGTGTTCTATTTTCAAAGTCTCTATCATGTCTAAGAGCTGCTGTCCACTGTCAGAGGTCACTCGCGACAAAGGGGGTTTCTCAAAATCAGCCTTGGTTAGGTTGATCAAATCATGCCCAGATAAATGCTTCAGTGGTTCACAGTATTCGGGCACCGCATTCTCCAACAACCAATCTGCCACTTCCTTGCGTGACCAGAGCTCAACTTCTTTCATTTCTTCAGAGTGCTTGCATGCAGTCTTCTAACTTACTTTAAGGAGAACAATTGTCACTGTCACTATTTCTGCAGAAGAGAAAATCTCTCTTTGGTTTGTTCATCCTGCTTAAGCCACAGCAGAAACCAGTTCTGCAGACTGATGCAAAACAGCTTCAAATCACTTGACAATATGGTAGCTTTCTTCTGCATCTGCAATTGTCTTTTTCCTGATAATTTAGGGAATGAAGAAAAAGATTAGGAGATAAATTACTTTCTACTCAAACTTCCTCTACTTAGACAATTTGTACTGGAATTTAACCAACTGCATTTTGCTTCTCTCCTTTTTTTTTAATGCTCAGTCAATTAATCTATCAATGCTAATCATCAATGGCTTGATTCCAAGCCATCTGAATCAAAGCCATACTGTTTTACTACCTGATTTGATGGACAAAATAATACCCTCATTTTAATCTTATATGATAAAGCAATCAGATTTTATTTTTATCCTGACGATCCTTTATTGCACCTAAACTGGTGGATGAGATAGCACAGGGCAAACAAAGCCTCACCATTACTTATACCCTGATCTGCTTAAAGTCTTTCTCTGTAAGAACTATTTCCCTGTTATGTCACTTAATTACAGTCTGTCCAAGGGGTACCTCGGCTTATAACCATTCATTTAGTCACCATACAAAGTTACAATGGCAATGCAAAAAGTGATTTACAATTGACCCTTGTATTTATGACCATTGCAACATCACGTGATCAAATTTGAGTGTTTGGCAACTGGCATATGTTTATTATGGTTGCAGCATCCCAGGATCACATGATCATCATTTGTCACCTTTCCAGCTGGTTTATGACTGTCAAAGTTAGTAGAAACCAGATTCAGTTAATGAACATGTGAGCCACTTAAATGACTTGACACAGTGATTCACTTAACAACCGTGGCAAAAAGAACACAAAATCAGGTGCAAGTCATGTAACAACCACCTTGCTTAGCAACCGAAATTCTGTGCAATTGTGGTTGTAAGTTGAGGACTATTTATACAAGACAGACAGCAATGCATGAACTTATGAGGAGAACAAGGGCAATTGGAGTAAGGTGGCTCAGCAGAAGTACCCAGAAATGCCCTGTGTCCTTTAATGATTCTCTCGCTCTCTCTCCCTCCCTCCCTCCCTCCCTCCCTCCCTCCCTCCCTCCCTCCCTCCCTCCCTTTTGAGATTCAGTTCTCAACTCCTAAAGCAAATATATATGGTTATTTTCTAAAAATTATTCTAACACTATACAGCACAATGTGTAGCACAGAACTCACACACATATATAAAGAATATAAATTTGTAAAATTTATAATTAGTAACAATTCCAATCAGAATTATAAATAAAAATAACCAAAATATTAGTAAATCATTTGGCCATTTTCCCCACTGTTGTTCATATACCAAGCTAATCTAATAACTTTTATTTTATTCAAGCCAACAAGCCTTTTGGTACAGGAAAAAGATCAACTATAGGAATGCAGTATTTATCAAGGACAATAAGGATAGCAGAGAACTTAAAAACTGATCAGAATGATAAAAAATATGTTTTGTTTTAATCTTTTTAAAATTTGGCCACAGTAGTAATTTTGCTGTCCTGACAATCAAGCCATTTCTTGCTTTGGCTTCATTCAAATAGTATCTATTCTAAGCATAAAATGCAACACTAAAATTTCATGTGCAGAGGAATTTAAAGATTTAATTCTTCATAATAATTGTACAGTACATGCAAAACCTTCCAATTTCTATATAGAATGAATTGGAATTAGAAATTCAACTGGAAATTTCATAGCACTTGTCAGTTCACCAAGTAACAAGTCACCTTGTAGATGGGAATGTTTATGAAACATCATCATCCAGTTCTGGCCAATTCTCTTAAATGACTAAATTAAATTCACAAAGAATTGAACTACAAAAACAACCTACAGGTATTTTATGAATACTTATATACCAGTAAACGAGAATATTAGTCACTCAGAGTTGAGATGTGGGTTCCTTGGAGTTCTCTGAGCTTGCTTGTTTTCTTGCAGATATTTCATTATCCAAACTAGGTATAACATCATCAATGCTAATTAAGGAGTGACTCCTTACTAGCAGTGATGATATTACCTAATTTGGGTAATGAAACAACCAAGAAAACAACCAAGCTCAGAAAGCACCAAGAAGGGGTGTTGTCTTACCTGAACGCCTTTTCTCACCATGAGGAATGTAGAAGCCACACATGGGTATTAGAAGTCCTCTAGCCCAATCAGACCAAAGAATCAGAGTTGCCATGCCCCACTGGACCGGACCATGCCCCAGTTTCAAAAAGGGCGAAGCCAATGATTGTGTGACGTGTTGGCTCCCAAACTGCTGACACTAACCTGACTGCAAAATTTAAAGGGAGGGGGTGGATTCTACATTCCTCATGCTGAGAAAAGGCGTTCAGGTAAGACAACGCCCCTTCTCCAGCATGGAAGGAATGTAGAATCCACGCATGGGACATACCAAAGCCATATGACCCCATGGGTAGGACGCAGACCGGTCAAGTGTCAACGCCGGAGTGGACCATCTGTTGTAAGACCCGGCAGCCAAAGGAGGCCTCTGCAGAAGCAAATTTGTCGAGCTTATAATGATGGATGAAAGGGGAAGGCGATGACCACATCGCCGCCCTACAGATGTCAACTATAGAAGCTTGAGTTTGCCACGCAGCAGACGTGGAAGTACTGCGCATGGAATGAGCTGTCAGATGGCCTGGAACTGGCAAGGAACAAATCCGGTATGCCTCTGTAATGCAGGCCTTAATCCACCGAGCAATAGTAGAAGAAGAAACCTTCTGACCTTTGGGCCCCATATGAAAGGAGACAAAAAGAGCCTCAGATTTAAAAAGGAAGCAGTCCTCTGCGCACATCCAGGGAATGCCACCGCCGCTCCAGGACATGTGAGGGTTTTGGACAAAAGTCCGGCAACACGATCTCCTGTGCTCGATGAAACAGCGTGTTTACCTTGGGGATGAACAAGAGGTCCAATTGGAGCACCACCCTGTCATGGTGAAAGGTACACAAGTCCTCCCTAACAGAAAGAGTTGCCAGTTCCGACACACGCCTTGCCGATGTGATTGCAACCAAGGCCACCTTATGAGACAAGAAACGAAGATCACAAGATCTGATGGGTTCGAAGAGGGATCCTGTAAGAGCCCGTAAAACCCAGGGTAACTCCCAGGTGGGATAACAATGAACCACAGGAAGCTTGCTGTTTGCAACCCCCTTGATAAAGGATCGGACCCAAGGGTGATGAGACAATGGAACAGAATCGGCATAGGTGAACACCGTGGAGAGCGCCGCCACTTGCCTGCGGATAGTGCTGGGTGCTAAGCCCATATCCACGCCGTCCATAAGATACTCTAGTATCCTCGGAATATTATATTACTATTACTATTATTATTATTATTATTATTATTATTATTATTATTATTATTACCTAATTTGGGTAATGAAACGTCTGCAAGAAAACAACCAAGCTCAGAAAGCACCAAGAATACCTACACATTATTCAAGAAGACCAATCTGGATAGAGAATTGCTCAGCAGAGTAACAACTGTTTATGCTCCCTTCTCTTTCTTGAACTCCAGTAGTTTCCTACAGTATTTCAATCAACTGGTGTAGAAATGAGGAAATATTTTAAACCGCTGAATCTGCTACCCTGTGGCAACCCTTCGTTATAACTCTGCAACTGCAAGAATACCAAGGAAGTTACCAGAATGTGCTAGTACGTGCAATCTTGCACTATGAAGTCATACCTTCCTTGCAATGGGAATGTTATTCATCAAAACTAATCCTGTCACTGAATTCACAAAGAAGAAATAAACTTTCTTTAAAAAGCAAGTGACAATATGTCTACCATGATTTTGAATATATAAATTTGTTTGACTTTCCAACCAAATTTGATTTCTAGCTAAGTACAAATAAGGAGCTCAGACTTGGAGTTAGTGATGAAGGTTTTTTGTTGCTTCTTTCTCCTCTTCCTCCTCTGAACCATAAACAACACAGAGAATACTATGTGATACCTTTTAATGCTATAAATTGTATTAACTTAAAGGTGACTTCCACTGAGACACATTTCAAGCTACATATATTACACGTTTATTCTTTCAATAGTTAATTTAAAAATAACTAAAAGCCCTTCATGATTGGAAGGATAATTGTTGAGAAAATGAAGTTAATGCATTATGTTTATATTATTTGAAGAAATGACTGAAAATCGTATTTCTCGAGCATGGTTAAATTCATGTGCTTACCATTCCTGTTACAATGACACCATACCATGAAAATACAAACATTAATTTTCTTCCTAAAGTATTATGTTGCCAAAATATTGTAATAAAATATTGACATCCCTGGAAAAGTGAGTAAAGATAAGGAAATATAAGCTGGCAGCAAAAGAAATTCCCCTACCCCCAAACAAATATTCTTTACATATTCATTTATAATTCAGTGCTCTTTCTCTTCAGATGCAGAGGTTGATTTCACAGAATCACTGATAATGTGCTCATTTTGGAGACTGTGGTTGCAGATAATCTCTATCCTTGCACCTGGAAAATAAGCTTAGCTGAACAAACAGCAATTCTGCGCAGTGGTTAGAAAACAATTGAACTATGCAGCTGAAGAATCACAGTTCTGAAGATAACAGATCATGGAGTGATATGGATGATGAGAATTTCAAGCTTTGGAGCATACAGGATTATGTATTTCTTGTATTTGAGCTCATTCAGTTTCTTTGGTGACCCAAACAGGGATAGTACTTGATGAACTCTGATTTGTCACTCAAAATGTCATAACATGTCACCTTTCGCACATACAACATAGGTTTGCCATCAGTGTACTTGCACTCCAACCTGAGATAAATTCTGGGAGATGAACTGTTTGCTCTAATGTGCCTGAAATAGGAGAACAACAACAATGCATAGAGTTGTCTCTCTCACCACACTAATTTCTACAGTACAGTACTAATTTCTTCCTGGCATAGGTTAATTTTTGGGAGCAGTTTCTTAAAAGGGAGAAAGAGTAACCCTGAAATTAAAAGAAGCTTTAAAAGTTAATATTTACTCCAAGCATACCTTTTGGTGTTGCAAGTATGAAGAGTTACATTGTCCCCAATGAGCTCCTATCATTGGTCTTGTTCTAGGAAGAAAAAATCACTGGTCCACAGTGGTGATCAAGAAATACAGTCCATAGGGAAGCAAATGTACTTCTATATTATGTTTATAACTAATGTACAAGGATAAGGCAGTCTTAAATCTATCTTTTCAGATATGTTAACGCAGCCTACATATAACCTTGGGGGAAAGAGCTAGTAGTGATTACACTTGTGGAAAAGACAATTAAATTCTTTATATAGAAATTACTCCTGGGGCACAGATGGGTTTGCTTAATTTATCACATGACGTTTAGTTTAAGTGACTGTGCAGCTAATTTCTGAGTAAACAAAACTCATTTGGTAGGCCTGGATGCTGAGAAAGAACAGATAAAGGAAACAAATAGCTCTTTAAAGGACAGAACAGTCTTTTTGGGGTTTTTTTCCAAAGTTTTCTAAACAAAGAAAAATTAGAATGCCCAATGAAGAAATTGTGGTTCATAGAAAAATAATTATTTCTAGATTTGCCATAAATCAAATAGGGGGCTAGTATATTTAAAGAATTGGAGTTAATTCTGTGAATTACCTCTGTCACTATGTGTTCTACCCAGTCTGCCAATTTTAGATTTTAAATAGTGGAATTTCCCTTGTTGCTGGGCTATTCTCTTTTTTTCCCTATCAACTAAACTGCCTTAAGTGCTTAAAGAAACAGAAACTAGGTGTATAAACATAACAGAGTAATAATAATAATAATAATAATAATAATAATAATAATAATAATAATAATAATAATAATAATAATAATAATAGTAATATGGGTGTGGAATTTTGCAAGTACACCAGACAGCTGAAGAAAAAAAAAGAACTGAATTGTCTGAACTACAATGAAGAAAATGCACTGAAAATAGTATATCATGCATGTTTACTGAGTTGTAGAAACTGGCTTACAAGAAAGACCAAATGAAGAATAGGAAAGAGACATGGCAAGGCAAAGTATTACAAGGTCAGTATCTAAAAATAGCAAACAAAGTAGATAACAGCAGGACTTGGCAATGGGAAAATTGAAGGAAAAGAATAGGGGCTAATTCTGACTTTACAAGATCAAGCCTTAAGAACAAATTCATATAAAGCCAAAATTGAGAAGACAACAGATAGCAAATGCCACCTTTGCAAAGAAGCTAGGAACAGTGGACCACCTAGTAAATGCTGCAAGATCGCACAGACTAACTATAAACAATGGCATGAACAAAGTAGCAACAATGGTGTATTGGAAGATCTGTAAGAAATACCATCTGCCTGCACAGTGGGACAGATTGGACCATAAAGTAAACAAAGTAATGGAAAATGGGAAACAAAGAAGCTAAAATGCTCTGGGATTTTAGAATTTAAACTGACAAATACCTGCCACATAACACCCCAGACTTAACAATTGTCAATAAGACAAAAAGGTCTGGATACCGGATGTAGCAGCACCTGGAGACAGCAGAGTAGAAGAGAAAGAACTGAAGAAGATAACAAAGTACTAAGACCTGGGAACAGGAACAGGAATAGAATGACTGTGGCAAAAAGTTAATACCAATAGTAATAGGCGCCTGGAATGTAATCCCAAAACAACTGGATTACCACTTGAATACCATCAGCATTGACAAAATCACCATCACTCACTTGTAAAAGGCAGCTTTACGGCACAGCTTACATCCTGTGATTATACCTTTAATACCATCAAACAACAGCATCTACCTATCCCAGAACTTTGGGAAGGACTTGCAAGTTGATAAAAATACCAAATCCAGCCTAAACATCTGTCTGACGGTGCAACAAACCATATGAAAGATGTAAAAATAAAAAAATAAAATAAGCACATATGAAACATTGAACAGTAAAATATGTAGGAAAAAACTTCAATCAGCCAAACAAAAGGAAAAATCTTACTAAGAAAGGTGACTAAAGCTACTTTTAACAGCCTTCTATTATTTACAGTTTTATTTATTTATCACATTTATATAGTCATCCATCGTATCAGAAGTGACTCTGAGCAGTATATAACAATCAAATAAAATAATATAAAAACAATCATTACAAAAATATGACAATCATTAAAATTAAAGTATTAAAAAGTACTCAAACCGTAAATGGAGTAACTTACTATATTAACCATAAAAGGGGGGACACATTAAAATGTCACTGGTCCCCTGGGACCCCCAAGCCTGCTGGCATAACCAGATTTTGAGGGACTTCCTAAATGTCAACAGGGAAGTAGCTAATCTCACTTGGGGGGAGGGGTAATGTTCCAGGCACCAAAAGCACAGAAGTTAATTGCTTATTCAAAAGATTACAAGAAGAATTTGTCTGCACGTTTTGGTGGAGGAAATTACACAAATATGGGAAGCCATCAAAAAGAACAAATCTTTCAGCCTTCCCTTTATAACTTCTGTTTTTGCAATCTACAGTTTGCTGACCATACATTTAATGGTCCTGAGTGGGTGGGAAGTTTCCCATATGAAGTTAAAATATGCTTTTTAAAAAACTCCACTAAACATCCACACCCAACATATTTGAGATAACTGCTTTTATCACCAGAGCTACTCCCAGAGCTGTATTTCTCTTGTTGCTTCCTGTGAGACTTTATTTATGTTGGATGAGTCATTCATTATTGAAAGCAGTGAGGAATGGTTGCTATCAAAATTGGCAATGTGGATGCTCTGATAATTTAAACTAGACCACCACTGCCACCTAAGCACACTATAAATGCCATCCCTCCCAGCTATCTTCATCTGAATGATTAAGGAAGAGGAAAGACTACAAGTCTCCTCTTCCTTAGTCATTCAGCTGAAGCTAGTTGGGAGTGATGGCAATTACAGTTGATTAAACTGATAATTCAAACCAGACCTATCTCCTCCAATTCATCCCTATGGGAAGGAAAGTTAAGTATTATACTGGCTGGTCATTTCTAAACTCACCCAACCATGTGACTCAGAGGACAGCATATAAAATTCATCCTACGCTTATCACATTCACACAAACAACAACAGATGACACAACAGAAGCACCCACCCCCGAAAGAAGCAATGTATTTTACACTCACTCTAATTCAGTGGTTCTCAACCTTTCTAATGCCACGACCCCATAATACAGTTCCCCATGTTGTGGTGACCCCCAACCACTTATACATCACCGGGTGCCAGGGGCATGGCCAAAGGGGGAAAAAATGGCAGACAGCCTTGTTTGGCGACCCCCGTGAAATGGTCGTTTGACCCCAAATGGGGTCCCGACCCACAGGTTGAGAACCACTGCTCTAATTCAATGGTTCTCAACCTTTTTAATGCCGCGACCCCCAACCGGTCGTAAGTCGAGGACCACCCAACCGGTCGTAAGTCGAGGACTACCAACCGGTTGTAAGTCGAGGACTTTCCCTGCCCGGGAGCGCTGCGCATGTGTGGTGCTGCCCCCTGCAGGTATAGCCTGCAAGGGGCAGCGACAGCGCAGGCCGACCACCAGCTGGGACACCAGCTGGCCCAGCCCAAGGGAGGTAAGGCACCCGCCTGGCCCCACGCGCGCCAGCAACCCTCCCTGCGCCCGCCGGCCTCCCACCTCTCACCCCGGCCCTCTTTTACTTACATTTTTAGTATTGCTCAGCAGGGAGGGGTGGAAACTTCCAGATAGCTCACCTTCGCTGCAGACAACTTGCAGCACCGTTTGCAGAATGGGACTTTTGGCAGGCTCAGCAAGGCAGAGACAGCCTGGACAATTCCTATTGACTTTTGAAAGCCAATAGAATAAAAGGGAGTAGCACAGCTAAGGAAAAGGGGAAAAAATGCCAGACTGCTTTGTTTGGCGACCCCCGTGAAATGGTCATTCGACCACAAATGGGGTCCCGACCCACAGGTTGAGAACCGCTGCTCTAATTAGACCTTCACAGACATGGGTAAGGAACATGTCTGCACACATCCTGATTAGCCCGAAGAAGGAAGTGCACAGACACAAGCACACAAACATGCCACCCCTGCAAATATATTCATTCCATCAAAGAATAAAGAGATGCCACCTCTAGTAACTGGCAGGAAAATGGCTGGAAGGACCGTTTTATATGGAGTATATCCTACATTTCCACAATCACAGCAACTACATACCACAAGAAAACAATAAAAAAATGTGAACAGGAAACTCTGTTTAAAATATGGAAATACCTGATGAAATGTTATTTGTATATTGAGCAGCAAGTGGAAACACAGCAGACAGAGGTGGGAAATGAGGAAAACAGTTTGAAAAATAATGTATCCTATCAAATGCATTATACAAAGTAAAATAGAAACACACACACACACATTTGCATGTATCTGCAAAGAAAGACAGCAATAATATGAAAAGATATAATTACATATATTTGAAATTGGTTTCACAAATTATAAACGTGTCATTTCATGCCAGTCTGTTGAGGTAGGCCAAGTCAGGAAACGGGCTCTACAAGACTATTGCAACTCTATTGTTGCAAGGTATAATAATAGACTCTTGGAAGTTTACTGGAGATTTTCTCCACTGAGAATTAAGGCAGGGCAATCTTCAGTTTCTGTCTCACTCCTTTCTTTCAGAGCTAAATTGATGTTTATGCAACTTGCATTCCTTCTTTGTGGTTATTGCTACACTACATTTTTCATTTGGCTTTTTTTTTCTTTGCAATCCCCAACAAAAAGGGATTTCTTAAAAAATGTTAGCATTTTTGGCATAAAAATACATTTCTAGTTTGGTATAATGAAGAATACATTTCTCACAACAGTGCTCTCCTTTATTTTCCACTTCTTTCAAAACAAGTCATCGTATGGGAACGGAATGTGATAGTTGGTTAGCAGGAAGATACTTAAAAATACTTCCTCTACCACCCTTTCCATCACCATCGTCTTTTAGAAAATACCCACATTTAATACCAACATTAAAATGTGAATTGAAAGGACCAAAAGAGTACAGAAATCATCAGCATTCCAGCAACTAATCCCTGGACTTTTCCAAACATCATGTTCAGTTCAAAAAGAAGAAATTGAAGAGAAAGAATCAGGTGAATAGGTAAGTACACCAAGAGAAAGGGTTGCCCAATTGCTAATTCCAATCATTGGTTTGGCCAAAGTCATTTTTGTTTTTTCCTCTATATCCTACATTAGAACACCACCATACTCCTCTCCACGACCTAGACACAACACTGAATGAGTAACAATCCATTTTTATGAGCACTTGAAATTAAGATTTTAGCATACAAAAAATGATTCATGCTTACAAAACTGCTTATAACTACCAG